ATTTCAGATGCCCGTTTTTGAATTGGGTCTTTGAATTTGAGGGGTCTGATTTTTTTCAATTCTTTATTTTAGATAGTAGACCTTTGTCTGAGGTACAGCTGCTAAAAATTTTTTCCCACATTGTAGGCTGTCTTTTAGCTCTGTTGGTGGTTTCTCTTGCAGTGCACAAGCTTTTTAATAAGATGAGATCCCAGTTGTTGATTCTTTGTGCTAGTTCTCATGCTACTTTATATATTATTTTCTTAGTTGTTACTTTGGGGATTGCAAAGAACATCTTAAACTTATAATAATCTAACTTGAATAATGCAAACTTAACTTCAATTGTATACAAACACTCTATTCCAATGCATCTCTATTCCTCCTAGTGTTGTCACAGATTCTATTTTTATGCATTGTGTGCCCATTAATGTAATTATTAGTCTATGCATTTGATTTCTAAGTCATCTATGAAAAAAGGGAGTTACAAACCAAAAGTACAATAGTGGCTTTTATTTTTATTTAAATAGTTCCATTTTTTTTATGGTTTTCTGTTTCTCTTGGGTTCTTCCATTTTAGTCCCAAAGGCTACATTTAGTGTTTGTTTCTTGTAGGCCAGGTCTAATAGTAACAAACTGCTTTAGTGTATTTGTCACCATTTTGTTGCTGGGACCAAATACCAGACATACATAATTTAAAGGAGAAAAGTTTTGTTTTGGGCTCACAGTCTCAGAGGTTTCAGTCCATGGTTGGCTCACTCCAAGGTTCACTCCACATCATGGTGGAACAGCACAGTGGAAGAAAGCTGGTCATTTCATTGCAGCCAGGAAGCAGAATGAAAGGGAAAGAGCCTAAGAAAAGATATATCCTTCAAAGGCATGCCCCTGGTGACCTACCTCCTCTAACTAGGCCCCACCTCCTCATAGCTCATTCAGCTATGAACTCATCAATGGGTCAATACATTTGTGGGGTTAAGATTAATATCCTCACAATCCTGTCACCTCTCCAGAAATCTCTTAATCCAATCCAATTGGGAATCAATATAACCATCATATTTAGTTTTATTTTTTTTAATCTGGAAATGTCTTAATTTCTCCTTCAGTCTTTAGTTCATTTTTGCCAGAGAAATTCTTGGTTTACTTTACTTTTCTTTTTTTGGTAGGGATTGAACTCAGGACCTTATCACTGAGCTACACACCAAGCTCTTTTCATTTTTTATTTTATTACAGGATATCACTAAGACCAGGTCACCCGGGTTGGGCTCAAACTTGGACTCTTCCTGCCTCAACTTCCTGGAGTCCTGGAATTACAGGTGAGCACCATCGTAGGTGCACAGGTGTGGCTTCATTTATAGATTTTGGGGGGGTACTGGGGATCAAACTCAGGACCTTGCACTTGCGAGTCAGGCAGCAGAACCACTGAGCTAAATTCCCGGCCCCCATTTACAGATTTTTTAACTTTCATTTTAAAATATTATCACATTGCCTTTTGATTTCTAATGAAAAATTCATGCTCATTTTATTGAGCATTCCTTATATATGACAATTAGCTTCTCTGTTACTGCTTTTAAGATTCTCTGTGTCTTGCTATTTTGATAACATAACCATAATGTGTCTTACTGTGCATCTCTTTGAGTTTAACTAGCTTGGAGTTCATTTTCCTTCTTAGATATGTATATCATGTTTTTCATTAAACTGGGGATGATTTTGGCCATTATTTCTTCTCTTTCTCCTCTCTCTCTCTCTCTCTCTCTCTCCATCTCTCTCCTTTTCTCTTACTTTCTCTTTCCTTCTCTTTGTGGGAATCTTTTGATGTATGCATTTCATGGTGTCTCTCATAGGCCTTGTAGGCTTAGTTAATTTTTATTTGTTCTTTTGAATTTTTCTCCTCATACTGGATGATTTAAGTTTTCTGAACTTCAAGTTCACTGACTCTTTCTGCTCATTGAACCTCTCTAGTAAAAATTTCATTGTCATCATTATTCATTTTAGCTCCAGAATTTCTAAATTATCTCCTCTCAATTATATTTCTTTATTTTCATTCCTTGTTTGCATCATTCTCCTGACTTCCTTTGGATCTTTTTATGGTTTCTTTTGGCTCAGTGAACATATTGACCCACAGTTGTTTTAATGGCTTTAACTAGAAATTCTAATACCTGGGCTTCCAAAGGCATGATTTTTGTCAAATTCCTTCTTTCCTATGAATAGACTATACTTTCCTGTTTCTTTATATGCTTTATAGGTTTTTTGTTGTTGAGTGATGGACATTTTCAAGTATTATATTAACTCTGGAAATTAGAATCTCTGCCTCCACGGAACTTCCTAATTTTTGTTCCTTGGGGTTTTCAATTGTCTCCATTTATTTAGTAACTTTTCCAAACTGCTTTTTTGCAACATGTGTATTACTTATTGTTTGTGGCTACTCACAGTTTTTTAATATCTGAAGTTATCCAGTGATCTCAGAAAGATTTCTTTTCATTCCAAAAAGAGATGCATAGAAGGAAGAGCCAAGGAAGACCTCACAGATGTCACAATGACATCTCAGCACAGCCTTGAGGGAAGAGTAATATCTGCCAAGTTGGTGCAAGGTAGAAAGACTTTCAGGTTTGGATGTGACTTGCCATGTCCAAGGAGAAGTTGGGGACAACAGGGGCTTGCTAGAGGGGAAGCAGAGCAAGTGCCTAAGGCCATGATCAGCATCAACCATCAAGATAATGAGGACCTGGGATAGCTACTGGTGTCCCCACCAAGCCCACAAAGCTTTGGAGAAGGAGAGATTTGGTGGAAGGATGTGAGAGCTGAAGTGTTGAGTCTGAGGTGTTCAAGGGGAGCTACTGAGTAGGCACATGGGGGTGAGCATCCAAAAGTTCAGTCACTGGATCAGCAAAGGAAACCCAGCAAGGAAGCGTTGGCAGGAGGTGACAGGACCCATGCAGATGTAGGTTCAAGGCACAGGTGGGTAGGTGGACATTCAGGAATTATTGGTTTTCTGTGATCAATGACTGGGACCACATGGGACCTTTAAGAGGTGATTAGGTCATGAGATGGGTCTCATAATAGGAGTCTGGCTTCATCTCTTGGATACAGTATTTGTGTAATGTGGTACCCTGCACTGCCTCCAGATTCTGCAGAGGATCCTCACCAACAAGAAGGGTTTTACCAGATACAACCATACAACTCACTGACCTTGGACCTTTGAAACTCCCGAACTGCGAGCTAAATAAACCTTCTTTTTTCCTTAAGACAGAGTCGCACTGTGTAGTTTAACTGGTCTTGGACTCACTATGTACCCAGGCTGGCCTCAAACCTCCTTCCTCAGACTACCATGTGCTGGGATCAGAGGCATGCACCAACATGTCCAACCTTTTTGTTTGTTTTGAGACAGGGTCTTGCTATGCAGTTTAAACTAGCCTTGAACTTGATAATTCTATGTAGCCCAGGCTGGTCTCAAACTTGTGATCTTCCTGTCTCAGCCTCATGAGTGCTAAAAGTATGATATGTACCACCACACCATACAAAGCTTGATTCTTTATAACTTACCCAGTAACCCAGAAGAGCTGAGTCTCCTGGTGTATCATACTAGGTCTCATGGGGTTGGGATCGGGGTGTGTGGTGGGCTGGGTGCAGGATGACATTTCTTCCCCTGGGATGTGTCTGGGTTCATATAGCATTTCTCTTTCTGTTCTGCTGCCACCCTGTCACTGTGCCTATCCTTCTGGGAAGAATTAGCAAATTGCAGCTTCCTGTCTCTAGGACTTTGGATCAGAAGGGGACATGGTTATCTGTAAGTGGTTTGTTTCCTTCTGAGACTGAGAAAGCCTTAATAAATCTGGATATTTCCCAGCTGGGTTCTTCAGACTGGAGCAAACCAAGCTTTTAATTTACAATACATTTCAAGTAGTCACTTGGGAAGTAGATCCCTTCTGAGGCACGGAGCCAACCATAACTGGGAAAAGGGCAACCTGAGGCTGCTCTTAGTAGTGACTCATTTTCCCTCCTCTGGTCCTACAGGGGTGGAATTAATCTTTGCCCACCTCAGGGTTGCTGAATAACAGGCACAGTTAGATTTGCAGTCAGCGTGTTCCTGGCAGCAGCCACTCACTCATAACACTCTGGATGGACTACATTTTTGGTTAAACTCCAAATACTTGGCAAAATCTTGAGTTGCGTCCCTGAGCAGAGGGGTGAGCTGGGCAGGGCAGGTGGCCAGGTTCTGTACACTCATCTAACCTAGGCTCTGACAGAATCCAAACAGAACCAGAGGTGTCATTGTCACCCTGGGGCCAGATCTACAGCTGAGTCCAGCTTTGCCCATTAAGTGGCTGCATAGATGGGTGGCTCTTTTCCCTTAATTGAGATGAGAGATCCCCTACCTCACATGGTCACTTTGAGCATAAAATAGGAACATAAATGGGAGTGTGTGCAGAGCAGTGACAGGAGGTCCTCAGCATTGGACAGCGTTGGGTGGCCCACCCAAATGTCCTGGGCAGACTAGAGGGGCCAAATAGATGGTCAGGTGGGAAGACTGTGCCCCTCATTGGGCTAGGAAAAGAGCAGAAATGTTGGCAACAGGACTTACTGTCTATCGTGGGGACATTTCTGAGACTGACACTTCATCACTGGAGGTGAACTGTAATGCAGGAGCCACCATCCCAAGTCCATCTCAGTCCACTCACAGTCTGATGACCACAGAAGACATAGTTACCTATCCAACAATGTGCCCCACTAGAGGGAAGGCACCTGTCCCAGTGCCCCAGGTATCATCTACAAATCAAATACAGGCCAAACTACCTGTTTGGCAATGCAGCCTTTTCTTTCTGGGACTATTTGGGATTCCTTTAAAGTTACTTGATTCACTTTATTCTCTCCCCCAGACCCTGTGAGATTAAGGAGGTTCTTCTCCCCCTCTCTCTTTCTCCAAGCTCACCCCAACTCCTACGCTCTGGGATTTGCTCCTCAAGAAAGGGCAAGGAGCACGCAGCCACATCATGGGCTACAGTTTAATGATCAATTAATTCCTGGCCAGAAAGCCTTTTCTGACCTGGTTGTCCTCAGACACTCAGGCTCAGAGCTGGTGACTGCTGCAGGATAATGGCTTACAACTCCACTGGGGACCTCCATGCTCCAGGACCGCAGCTGAGTGTGACTGACATTGTTGTCATCGCTATCTATTTTGCCCTGAACGTGGCGGTGGGCATATGGGTGAGAGAACTTGGGTGGCAGCCAATTGGGCTCTCAGGGTGGGCACTTGAGATGGGAACCAGGGTCTAGCATGTTCCTAGGACATCTGTATCGGTTTCACCTGATGGCCCTCCTTCTGAACAATGGAATCACAGAGATTCTGTGGCTGCACCCCAGAGCTGCTGGATCAGAATCCAGAGGCAGGGAGGGCCACACAGAGCTTGGGTTCTTTATTTTTATCAAGCTTCACAGGGATTTAGCCTATCCCTAGTTCATAAGCCTGTTCATTCTCCCTGAATAGGAGATGTAATTTGATTCAAATGGTGCCAGCCCCTTCCCCAAACCCTGTCCTTCCCACAGCCACCAAGGCTGCGAGAGGCTGGGACTTGCCCAAGGAGCCCTGCACAGTGGGCAGCAATTCTTCTTCAGTATATACCTGATACCAGGCTTTAAGGTGCTAACCATGGGAAGATGGACTGGGAGAGGTCCCTTTTTACCTTCTCAGTCTGGAGGTCCCCAGGTGGTGTCCTTGAGCCCTAATGTCCTCCTGAGGAGAATGGGCACCTGTTTTTATCTTCTGTGACTCCTAGTCCAAAGCTGAGAGCCCAGGGAATGGATGACAGGTCAGATCTCCTCAGCTTTCTGGGCCTTAGTGTTTTGATCTGTTAGATGGCCGTACCACCCACCTCACAGGTTGAGGTCTCCTACAGAGGGGCCTGCAGAGGACAGGTCCTTGCTGCTGCCACAGTACCTATACTAGTAGAGTGCTGATAGGAGTGGCTGTGGAAAGGGTGGTTATGGGGGTGGTTGTTGGTGGTTGGAGTGGTGGATGGTAATGGTGGTGGTGGTGGAATAGTAGAGGTAGTGTTGTTAGCAGCAGCAGTAATTGAAATTAATTGTGATGTAGTTAAATATAAAATTACAAGTGCTGGTCATTAGCAAAGCTGGATTCTAGTCCTGGCTCTGCTCTATGTACAGACATACTTCCCTTTATTGTCCTTTGGGTATTTTGCCAATTGAAGGTTGTGGCAATCCTAGGTTGAGCAAAACTAGCAGGGTCATTTTCCCAACACCATGTGCTCACTGTCCCTTCAGGTCACATTTTGGCCACTCCTACAATATTTCACACTTTTTTATTATTATTATACCTGTTGTGGTGATCTGTGACCAGGGATCTTTATGTTTCTATAGTCATCATATGGGGCCGCCACACCCTGTCCATATAAGATAGTGAACTTGGTGAATATATACTGTGTGGATTCTCACTGTTCTGCTGCTTCCTGTTTCTCTGCCTCTCCTCCCTAATTCCTGAGATAGGACATTAAAATGAGGCTAATTAATAACCCTACAATGGCCTCCAAGTGTTCAAGTGAAAAAAGGAGTCACACGTCTTTCATTTTAAATCAAAAGCTAGAAATCATTAAACTCAGTGAGGAAGGCATGTGGAAAGCAGAGATATATTAAGTCTCTTGTGCCAAACAATTACCCAAATTGTGAATGCAGTGGAAAATTCTTAAAGAAAATTGAAAGTGCTACTCCAGTGAACACAGAAAGCAAAACAAGCTCATTGGTGAAATAAAGTTTCAGTGGTCTGGGTAGAAGAACAAGTCATGGGCCAGGGATTTAGCTCAGTGGTTTCGCCACCGCCTGCTGCACAAGCACAAGGACACGAGTTCGATCCCCGGTACCAAAAAAAAAAAAAAAAAAGAACAAGTCAGCCACAACATTCCCTTAAGCCAAAGACTAATCTAGAGAGATTCTAGCTGTCTGCAACCCTGAAGGCTGAGAGAGACAAGAAATTTCAGAAGAAGAGTCTGGAGCCAGCAGAGGTTGTTTCATGCAGAATAAGAAAAGAAGTCGCCCCCACAACATCCAAGTGCAAGGGGGAACAGCAAATGAAGGGGCTGCAGTGGTCACCCTGAAGGTCCAGCTGAGAACTCTGATGAAAGTGGCTGCACTGAACAGCAGGTTTTCAGTGTAGATGGAAAGGTCTTATGTTGGAAGAAGATGCCATCTGGCACTTTCATGGCTAGAGAAGAGCCAATGCTGGCTTCAAAGCTAAAGGCAGCTGGTGATCTAAGTTGAAGCCAAGGAGCACTGAGTATCCCGACAATCCTGGAGCCCTTAAGAATGATATAAATCTACTCTGTCTCTGCTCTGTAAATGGAACTGGCCTGGATGACACACATATGTTTAATAAGTATTTAGAAAAGCAAAACAGTCTCATTACTGAAATAAAATTTCAGTAGTCTAGATAGAACAAGACAGCCACGACATTCCCCTAAGCCAAAGACTATTATTTTAAACATGGTTTAATGAATATTTTAAGCCCACTGTTGAGACCTACTGCTCAAGAAGGCAAAAGGACTCAAATCAAAATATTACTGCTCATTGACCATGCACCTGGTCACCGCACCTGGTCACCCAAGAGCTCTCTGATGGAGATGTACAGTGAGATTGTTGTTTGCATGCCTGCCAGCAGCATCCATTCTGCAGCCCATGGATCAAAGAGTACACTTTCTAGTCTCAGTATATATAAAGTACATTTCATAAGGCTACCATAGGTAGTGATTCCTCTGATGGATCTGGGCAAAGTAAATTAACAACTTGGAAGGGATTCACCATTCTAGATGCCATTAAGAACATTCAAGATTCATGGGAGGTCAAAGTGTCAACATTAACAGGAGTTTGGACAAAGTTGTTCCAACTCTTATGAATGACTTTGAGAGGTTCAAGACTTTGGTGGAGGATATAATTGCAGACATGGTAGAAATAGCAAGAGAATTAGATATAGCTATTATAAATTGTGCTGCTATAAATATGGGTATGCATGTATAAATCTACTCCATCTCTGCTCTGTAAATGGAACAGCAAGGCCTAGATGACACACATCTGTTTAATGAATATTTTGAAAACCAAAATACTGTACTATACTGTAATACTTTAACTCTTTCAGAGAGATACCTAGAAGATGAATACCTGGGTCAACTGAAATTTCTAGGGTTTTTTTTTTTAGGAATCTCCATATAGATTCTTGTAATGTTAGTTTACATTCCCAAAAACAATGTAGAAGATTTCCTTATTCCCTGCACCCTTGCCAGCATTTGCTGTTATATGATTGCTTGATGATAGCCATTCTTCCTGGAATAATATAGAATCTCAGTGTTGTTTTAATTTGCATTTCTGTAATGGCCGTGATGTTGAACATTTTGCCATGTATTTTCTGGTCATTTGTACCCCTTTTTTAAGAAAATAGTTAGGACTGGGGATTTAGCTCAGTGGTTCTGCTGCCTGCCTTGCAGGAGCAAGGACCTGAGTTCAATCCCCGGTACAAAAAAAAATTGATACATATTTTAGTATATAATGATTACACTCATCATGGGAATTTGGTGCATGCACATGACATATCTTAATTCATTTTTTTATATCCTTCCCTTCCCCTCCCTCACCCTCCCTTCATCTCTTGGATCCCTTCTGTACTTCTGTGAAGTGTGTATGCGTTTCAGTTGCCTGTTATTTGATAAGGTCTTTTATTTTAAGAGGTCTAATTTATTGAGTTCTTTATGTATTCTAGATATTCAGTCCTTTGTCTGAGGAGTAGCTGACAAAACTTTTTTTCCCATTCTGTAGGTTGTCTCTATTCTGTTGTCTCTTCACTGTGCAGAAGCCTTTTAATTTGATATGTTCTCATGTGTTGATTCTAGACATTATTTCTTGTGCAATTGGGGTTCTGTTCAGAAAGTCCTTGCCTAAGCCTATATCTTCAAGAGTTTTACTGTTATCTTCCAGAGAATTAAGAGTTTCTGTTTTAACATTTAGATCTTTGGTCCATTTTCATTGTAGTTTAGTACATTGTGAGAGATACGGGTCTATATTCAGTCTTCTTAGCCAGTTTTCAAAGAATCACTGTTAAAGAGGCAATTTTTCCTCCAGCATATGTTTTTGACCCCTTTGTCAAAGAGCAGATAGCTGGGCTTGCCTGGAGTTGTTTTTGTATCTTCTATTCTGTTCCATTTATCCACATGTCTGTTTTTGTCCTAGTATCATGCTGCTTATCAGTGTGGCTTTGTAATATTACTTGAAGTCCGGGACTGTGGTTCCTCCTCCTTTGCTGTTATCGCCCAGGATTGCTTTACTATTTTGGGTCTCTTATGGTCCATATGCATTTTAGGACTGTTTTCTCTAGTTCTGTGAGAAATATTGTTGGTATTTTTATTGGAATGGTGTTGAATCTGTATATTAGTTTTGGTAGTATGGCCATTTTGACTATATTTTTCCTGCCTATCTAGGAACAGGGGCTATCTTTCCATTTTCCAATGTCCTCTTCAATCTTCTTTTTCAGAGGAGTATAGTTTTCATTGCAGAGGTCTTTCACTTCCTTGGTTAGGTTAATACTTAAGTATTTTATTTTTCTTGATGCTATAGTGAATGGTATTGTTTTCCTAGTTTCTTTCTCAATGAGTTTCTTATTGGTATGCAGGAATGCTATTAATTTTTGTGTGTTGATTTTCTACCATGATATACTACTAAATTTTGTTGTTAGTTCTAGGAGGCCCTTGGAATTTTTGGGGTCTTCTATGTAGAGAATCATGCCACCTGCAAATAGTGATAATTTGACTTCTTCATTTCCTATATATATCTCTCTCTTTTATTTCTTTCTCTTCCCTGATTGCCCTAGTTAATGTTTTAATTACTACATTGAATGGAGTGGTGATGGTTTGACATCCATGTCTTGTTCTGGATTTTAGAAGAATAGCTTTCAGAATGGACACTATCAAGAAATCAACCAATAACAAATGCTGGGGGTGTGTGGGGAGAAAGGAACCCTTCTCCATTGTTGGTGGGAGTGCAGACTGGTGCAACCACTGTGGAAAACAGTATGAAGATACCTCAA